CCCACTTGCCTACTAGTGGTGCTAATATTTCCCGCCATCTAGATCCTCAATCTCGACGGTGTCGTTTGCTTGCACAATTATTCTTTGTGCTTACTCACGGTTCCCTTGGGACATCCCAAGTCCCCATCACTTTCCTCCATACTAGTCATATTTTTTTGTCCCGTCGGCGGTCCCACCGGCGCGTGTCTCGTTTTCCGTCTTTTATTATTTGGACCCACTTGGTCCCCGACATCATTCCGGACGGTGTCCCATTTTTTATTTTTGGGGCCCTCTTGCGCTTGGTGGTCCCATCCCCTCTACATGCGTGCCGATTTTTCTAGGTCGTGAGATCTTATCTCACGGTCGCCGTTTACCGTCCCCCATGCCGAAATTGCTCCTTTCTAGCCTTTTGGGTTTGTCGTGGCTCATTTTCCCTTAGCCTAGGCATCCCCATGCAGTCCGTTATTTCTCGGACCGCAATCATGGCCATTTTTCTAGTCCCACAGCCCCACAACTTGCCCCATGGTAAAAGAAAATGAAGCGTTAAATTTCCAAGTGCATCTGGGTTCAATATTGGCTCCGGATGCACCTAAAACATGTGTTTTCTCCTCCCCATGCAGTCCTGTTCCAACTCGGACTGTAATGGGGGTCAATTCCCTAGCCCCAATGCCCCTCATCTAGCCCCTACTTGAAAGAAAAAGAAACGGCCAACTCCCAAGTGCATCCGGACTTGATTTTGGCTCCGGATGCAACCAAAACATGTGTTTCTCCTCCCCTATGTAATCCGTTTTATTTCGGTTGCATAAGGTCTTGGTTTTCTTTGATTTTCTCTGCAAAAATTAAAGAAAACCAAAGTCCTTTGTAACCGCCATATTCCAGAATGAATCTTGTCACGGATGAATCTCCCCAAGTGACCGTTTTTTACCGTTAAAGCCCTTTTCTCTTTTTTTTTCTTTTTTTTTTCCTCCTTTCTTGGATAGTAAGGACCTGCCAGTCCCTACTTGTGGCAGTCCCTACTGACGGTCAACTCACTCACTCCCTCTCACTCTTTTTGTCTTATTCTCCCCCAATTTCTTTTTTTCTCTTTTTTTTCTAGCATGCCAAGTGTCAAGTGGCCGTTAAGGCCCTTTTCCTCTTAGTTTTAGCCCTTCCTATGCCCAAGGTGCAGTCCGTTATATCTCGGACTGCAATAATGGCCTCCTCATGCCTATGGGAGCTTCCTTTTACTCCTACCTTTCTCCCATAATAGCCCCTCCTACTCCGATTTTCTCCAGGAGACCTACTTTTCACATGGGGTCTCTTTTGACTCTATTTTCTTCAGGGAGGCTGATCCGAGATTTTACGGATTGCTCCCATGCCTCCCACTTCAAGTTTCTTTATTTTTCCTTTTCCTTTTGGTCTCCTCGTTTGCTACAGCTAGCGCTTACACTAGTGGTGCTAATATTCTTGGCCGTCAAGATCTCGATCTTGACGGTGCACCTTGCCTTTATTATTTCCCCTCATGCGGTGCCGTCGTTTCTTCTTGGGACTTTCATACGTCCCCGCCATCCGTCCCGGCGGCGGCCCCCGACACTTAGTCCCACCGGCGGTCCCCAGCACTTAGTCCCACTGGCGGTCCCCGACACTTAGTCCTGCGAGTGGTCCACGACACATTTCACCCCGGATGCCATTATTTTTCCTTGATCCCACGTGGCCCTGGGTGCCTTTCCTGAGGTTTTCCACGCCCCTTGGGCGTTTTGCCGCCCCACGGTGACCTTTTTCTCTCGTCTTTCTTGCGCCTTGCGCGCTCGCATTTTCTTGGTCGCGGGGCCTTCAACCTGAGGCTCCCGTAGGTGGCCCCCATGTTGGACCCTTGTTCTCCTGTTTCCTATGGCCTCCGGGCCGCCCGTCTCTCGACTCCCTCGTTTCTTTGTCGCCGCCGTGCTGCGTTTGTTGGTTCAAAGGCCCTTTGGCCTTAGTCTTGTTGCATTCCAATGACCCTCCCGACCTCATACTATGTTCTGCGTGCCCCTGTTCTTGCGCTCACTCGCTCGCTATTGCCGGTTCTCTCCCTCTGCGGTTTTCTCCCTAGGGCATTACTCCCTCTCCTGGTCTAATCTTTTATCTTTTCTCTCTCCCGCCTCGTCACTCCAGATTTCTTTGTCGTGCACAATTTGTCTATGTTCAATCTTATTCGGAACCCACCAGTCCCGACGGCGGCCTGACCCATCCACGAGGGACAAAGGGAAGGAGGTCGTTCACGAGCCATGGGGCCAGCAAGGCCGTTTGTTTAAGGATGCACACATGTCGGCTCACTGTCAGGCGCATCGGGATGGACACGGCGACTGCTGTGGGAAAAAGGAAGGAGAGAGAGGAGACGGCGAGGCCAGGCGGGCAAAAGAGGATGAGACAACACACCATCACGGGGTATTTTTCTTCGCAATAGCAAATGAAGTTTAAGAAAAAAATTTTGCGGTTTCTGTAAAGTCAGCGCTTGTCATTCAATGTTGTCCAGAGTGAGCCCCGGAAGGATTTCGTGAGGCACGTTAAGGACTTACCGGGGCCGGTAAAGGTTTTGTGGCCGTCCCACAATGAGATCGCCGACATGGACACAGTTGCCCGCACTATCGACGATGTGGTCGGGGATCTCACAGAGGTCAGGGCTCCTTTCTATGTGACGGGGGCCACCATCATGTCCGATGACAGGAAGTCGTGGGACGCGAGGCCGATCGTTAACTTCCTTGCCGGAGGGCGGAGTGATAATGGTGCGCACAATGAACAGGGAGGGCGAGAGAGACCAGGCGGGTGACGTCTTGGGGCGCTGGATCGAGGTGTTTGATGACTTTCCTCCTCGATGGGTGAATGCCATCTGCACGGACTCTGCCTCTGCGTACGTCGATGCAGCAAACATGCTACAGGGTCCTGAATAGAGGTCGGAGATTCGACGGATCACGTGGCTGCCGTGCGCGGTGCATGCCTGCAACAAAATGTTGTCAGACATTGGCTTGTCAAGCCTGTGGTCGAAGGACATTATTGTGCGCGGGAGAGCGGTGGTGCACTTCATCAAGGAGCATGGCGCCGCTCTCTACCTCTTCAGGGGGGAGAGCAAGCAGATGGGGCTTGTTCATCCCTGCGAGACACGATTTGCCTCCGTGTTTTCCATGATGGAGCGTTTGATGGCAGTCAGGTCAGCGTTGGAGAGGACGATGGATGGCGATGGTTGGGGTTTGGTTCCCTGGGACAATAGTGTTGCTCAGCTGGCTTGGTGGGTGAGGTGGCAGGTGCGGCATGGTCCTTGGTGGGATTCCATGGGTATCCTCGTCCGCATCATGGAGCCCGTGTACGACATGCTTCGTAGGTTGGACCGAGGAGGGCTGCACATGTCGAGGGTTGTGCAGTGGATGCAGGACGTGACTTACGATGTGGCATGCGAGGTCCGCGCACTTCGCAGGCGTTGCACTCTTCATTATGCAGAAGCTGCAGGCTCGGTGCGCTCACATGTTGGAGCCCGCGCACGCCGCTGCTCACCTTCTCTGTCCGAGTCACAGAGACTTGAGGTACTACGAGGGCGTCATCAGCGACAATGATGCGAGACTCGTACAGGAGGCGGAGACGTACATTCGCACACAGACTAGGTTTAGTGTCGCGAGCCCGGAGTACGAGGCTGCATGTGCCCAGCTCCGCGACTTCCGCACACGGAGAGGGGGGATTGCGTGGGGTGGGAGGGACGGAGACAGGGAAGGGCAGAGGTGTACCGGCGACGTGGAGAAGTATGAGGCCGATTGTTGGTGGTCGAAGTGGGGACAATGCGCCCCGCAGCTGCAGGCCATCGCTCTTCATGTGATGTACATGTGAACATTTTTCTTTCCCGCAGATCCACGAGGCTGTGCACACGAAGAAGCGCAACAAGCTCGAGTTCGAGAAGGTTGCGAAGTTGGTCGAGATCTCAGCCAACGTCCACCTTCTCTCTCATCAGCGAGCTGGCCGCGGGTTTGCATTGCCATGGACGGTCGACGAGTCCATGTTGGATATCGAGGGAGGCATTGGGACTCAGCCGTCTTGGCAGGGGACGGACCCCAGCAGGTCGCAGGAGGACCGGGAGAGGCAGAGACGTTCCTGGATGCGAGACCAGTGCGGGTCGAGAGCTCCTCCTGGAGAGGTTGGAGATGTTTTCGGGACTCGGGCTGCCAATTTGCGGCCATACCCCAGAGACGACGACAGTAGTGACGAGGGGCCTGAGGGATTTGAGGAGCGGGTGGGACCTCAAGACCATCCCGCTGGAGGACCTGGAGAGGCTGATGAGTGGAGTGACCCGGAGGAGGTCCATAGACGTAGTGGTGGGGGCGACCTTTTTGGCGGAGGTGACGGGAGCCCTTTTGAGCGAGAGCGGCCTTCGTCTCCGGGGCCACAGTCTGTCGATACGCAGGCGGCGCACGACTCTGCGCGTTCCAGGGCGGCATAGTCAGCTTGCGGTGGCGGTGTTGCAGGGTAGCATCTCGGACGTTTGCGCAGTGGGATGGCTTCATCTGGGGTTGTTCCCCCTCCGTCAGGTGAGCTTCATCGAGGTTCGTCCCCGAGAGGGCAATTGCATAGATTGGTAAAGGGGCCGAGACAGCATTTAGAGGAGAGATTGGTGGGCGGTCCTTCACACTGAGAGCGTCGAGAGAGCAGTGGAGAGGCCGACTGGTCGAAGTACTCCTCCGTTCGGAGGAGATGGATGCAGTCCAATTCAGAAGGCGGTTGAGACGGAGGGTGTTGGGGGGGCTGGTGATGACAGGGTGTCGATGGGTGGCGGCGGAGGTTTTAGTCAGTTTGGTAATTTGGGACTGCCGCACGGAGAGAGCGATTCTCAGGGGGACGTGTCTGCCGGCATGCAGGCCATATTACAGCAGATCAACGCTTTGCAGCCAAAGACTTTTACCCCTGCCATGCACGGAGAGTTAGGAGCGTCGCCAGCGGAGATAGAGAGAGACGAGGAGGCGACACCCCCTGGAGAGACATCGACAGAGAGGTTGGACTAAGTTGGACAAGCTCGAGAGTCGTCGAGCTTGCCTCCTGGCACGAGCTGACCCCAGGACACAGGAGTTGGCCCGTCTAGTGTTGGAGGAGTGACAGAGACAGTTGGGGATGTTTAGGGAGTTGCCCCCTGACGCACAGGCGGCCGGCGATGTCGACCCTATGACAGAGGTTCGCTACGAGACGCAGGCGGAGGCAACTGTGCTCCAACCAGATTTGGCAGGGATGCAGGGGGAGGCAGCTGTAGGCCCAGGGACATCAGCAGAGTTGCATGGGGAGGCAGCTGGCGGCGGCGACGACAGAGCCGAGACGGGTGGAGGGACAATAGTTGGGGTGCCGGGGGAGGCAGAGGGTTTGCATGTGACTGCGCTCACCACACCAGGCGACCCGCGTCCAGTGCCCGACCAGCGTCTTCATGACAGGCAGAGGACCAAGGATGCTTTCCTTGAGACTGAGGAGATACCTCTTGGTTTGGAGGATATACAGACGGGTCAGTCAATGGGCGTTGATGACGACACAACATTGGCACGGGCAGGTATGATGTGGCCTACCACGGGGGTTGGGGGGGATGTTGGCGGGGACGCTGTTGTCGGGGGGGTAGAGGAGCGAGTCCATGCTGATCCGGTGTCATTGATTGAGGGCGGTTGACATGCAGAGGACGATGGCGGGGCTGGAGCGAGACAGGAGGTGATCGGCACGCCTGACAGAGGGAGGCATGAGGCGTCGCGGAGCTTGGTGGTTCGCATAGCCGTGGGCCCGGTTGTGCGACATGAGGAACCATTTCCTATAGATCCGATGCGTCCTGCGGGTGGTGTCGCCTCGATCGTCGAGCGACGTATAGGCAGGGGCATGTGCGCGCCTCCGATCCCCCGTTTCGCACCGTCTAGGGAGAGGACACAGTCGCGGTATGTGCCGCATCCTCGCGGCACCCTTCCATTCGACTGTATGACCGCCGAGGAGTTGGAGGCGCATGGCACGATGGATTACACCGGGATAGACACCGGTCGACCGGACTTGTCTTGGGCGCCAACCAGCCCGAGCTTGCCATCTGGAGGTTCTATTGCAGTGCCCTCTCAAGGGGGTGCAGGGCCCTTGTCACGGGGGTCCGCAGATGTCCAGCCGCATGACAATCAAAACGAGGTCGGCTGCTCACAGACAGAGAGACACGAGCGACCACGGACGGGACACGATGTTGTTCGGTCGCACTGATCGGCCATGGAGCGAGACGAGAGGAGTGACATCTGCGAGCGCGGCTTGTCAGCCGGGTTTGAGAGGGGTATCCACCTGCGGGGGTCGTCGAGATGTTGTGGCGTCGGGGTTTGGCGATAGAGGTGGGGATAGTGGCGACATCCGTGGCGGACGTGAGGGTGCGCGGGGTGGCGATGCACATGTGGTGCAGCGGCCACTGACGTATGGGTTGAGAGAGGCCTCCATCATTTTAGGGGAGCCCGAGGTGGGTCGACGAGCGAGACAGGCCCAACATGTGCCAATCAATCGATGCAAGGAGGGGTTGACTTCAGGAGCAGACGGTCTGCCTATGCGCCGCGAGTCTCGCCGACATGTTGATTTAGCAACTACAGGCGTCTGACCTAGCAGAGGTAGGAGAGTTATCATGGACGATGACCCCGACGACCCTCTTGAGCCTTCCCATGCTGGTCATGGAGAGCAACCTCGTCGTGGCAGGGGTCGACCGCGTGGCAGTGGTGGGACACATGGACGAGCTTCACATCGGTCTGCTCAGCGCTCGCCTTCAGATGAGGATCCTTGACCGTGTGCATACGTTTTTTTTTTTTTTTTTTTTTTTTTTTTTTTTTTTTTTTTTTTTTTTTTTTTTTTTTTTTTTTTTTTTTGTATAGTTTTTTTTTTTTTTTTTGTCTTGTGTAGCGTTCACTGTAGCGTTCACCGTGGTTCACTGTTCACACTTCTTTATGTTTGGCACTTAGACACAGGCACTGGGTGCGGTCTTCGACATTATGTGTCAGTCGCTTTTTTCTTTTGTTTTTAGCGACATTGATTTGCGTATTTTTTGTTCTGTTTTTTTTTTTTTTTTTAGTCACAGGACCATAGCTGTTCTCCGTCACGGCATAGTAGTTCGGGATTTTACGTAGATGACGTGGGCGTTAAGGGATTTCTTTATATCGTTGGATCCAGGTTCTCCGTCACGGGCAGTTGTTTGACTCTATGTGACAGATGCATTTTGGCATGATTTTGCTACTATCCATGCTACACTTCTTTTCGTTTCGGTTTAGACATTGTCTCGGCATTTGTGGTGTTTGTGTTTTGTGGATGATGAGTGTCAAATGTATCGGTTTATGTTTTTCCACTTTCTCATTGTATGCTTTTGATAAACCAATTTGTGAACTTGCATTTCCGTCCACGAATGACGAATGGAGTGACAATTAGATAAATGTGGGTGTATGTATGCGTGTGTTTGTTTTTTCCAGCTCTCCAACAACACCCAAATTGACATCTCAGAAAACCAAAGAACCGTTGCTGAATTATCCGTCCAATGCCCCGGCCAGGGTTTGGGCGCTGGGGTGCGGGGGGGTTGGGGGGTTGTTGAATGGAGGGTGTGGTGTAGGGTGCTGTGACAAACATGCTGTAGGCGGGCCGACGGGGTGTGGGGGGGTTGAGGGGTGTTTGAATGGAGGGTGTGGTGTAGAATGCTGCGGCAAACATGCTGTAGGCGGCCCGACGGGATGTGGGCGTTCGGGCGACGGGGCGGTTGGGCGCTGGGGTACCGGGGTGTGCGCGCTGGGGCGCCGGGGTGTGGGCGCTGGGCCGCCTGGGTGTGGGGTGGTGGTGCGCTGGGGCGGTCAGGCGCTGGGGCGCTTGGGCGCTGGGATGTGGGGCGCTGGGCTGCCGGGGTGTGGGGCGCTGGGGCTCTGCGACGCTGGGGTGTGGGCCGCTGGGGCGCTACAGCGCTTGGGCGCCGGGGTGTGGGGCTCTGGGGCGCCGGGGCGCTAGGGCACCGGGATGTGGGGCGCTGGGGCGTCGGGGCACTAGAGCGCTGGAGCGCTGGGGCGTTGGGGCGCTGGGGTGTGGGGCTTTGGGGCGCTACGACGCTGGGGTGTGGGCCGATGGGGCGCTGGGGCGCTTGGGCACCGGTGTGTGGGGCTCCGGGCCGTTGGGGCGCTGGGGTGCTAGGATGTGGGGCGCTGGGCTGCCGGGGTGTGGGGCGCTGGGGTGTGGGCCGCTGGGGCGCTGGGGCGCTTGGGCGCCGGGGTGTGGGGCTTTTGGGCTTTGGGGCGCTGGGGCACCGGGATGTGGGGCGCTGGGGCGCCAGGGCACTGGAGCGCAGGAGCGCTGGGGCGCTGGGGCGCTGGGGTGTGGGGCTTTGGGGCGTTGGGGCGCTACGGCGCTGGGGTGTGGGCCGATGGGGCGTTGGGGCGCTTGGGCGCCGGGGTGTGGGGCTCCGGGGCGCTGGGGCGCTGGGGCGCGGGGACGCTGGGGCGCTGGGGCACCGGGGTGTGGGGCGCTGGGGCGCCGAGGCACTGGGGCGTTGGGGGGCAGGGGCGCTGGGGCGCCGGGGTGTGAGGCTCTGGGCGTCGGGGCGGTGGGGCGCCGGGGCCGTGGGGGCCTGGGTGTGGCCACTGGCGGCCCTTTTTTTTTTTTTTTCCTCATGAATGGAGACCACAACCCCGTGGCCCCGCGCGCGCGCGCGCCCGAACGGGGGTCGCGTTGAAGAAAAAAACGACACGTTGGGAGTAGCGCGTTTGAACGCGAATGAACGCGGCCCCTGCGCGTTTGAACGCGAATGATCGCGGCCCGTGCGCGTTTGAACGCAAACGCACGTTCAACACGTTCGAACTGTTGCATAGCCATAGCTACAACCTTGTCGCTGTATAACCGGTTGAACGCGCGTTCACGTTCAAACGCGCGCGTTCATACCCCTCGGGGCCGCGTTCAATCACGTTCAAACTCGCTGCGCGCCACGTGGCACGAAAAAATTGAACGCGACCTTGGGGGGCGCGAGCGCTCGTTAAGGACTACGGGGTGGTGGGCCTCGTTCAAGGAACCTCGAAAGTGCAAAAAAAAAAAAAAAACAAGGCCTACCCCCTACCACATCACCCCCCACCATATGTAAAAGGTCCTTTGTTTTTTTTTTGGGACGGGCGGGGAAATCCCCCTGATACGACTCAGACAGCCCATGCAGGCTATCTGAAGGGTCCTCGCAGCCATGTAGTCCAAACCCCCCCATCAAAATCAAGGCAGACAGTTAATATGAAGTAGAGCTCGAGCTGGCCTAATATTTACTCAAGATTTGACTTCAGGTTTGTGTTTCAGAAGTTATGGGTTGCTCACGTAGCTAGGGCCTGCTGGTCTCTGCACGTGACTCTTCGGGCTTGGGTGCACTACTCACCAGCAGTTCTTTGAGTAATGTATCTGGCCAGTAAGTGAGGTACGTGCTCGAAAGTGGTTGTGCTTTTTTTTTTCGGTTTTATTGGTCGAATCATTGCCCTGTCAGAAAGGCAGGGCGGATTCCACCCGTAGACATAAACTGCCAACCTCAACTCGTACTCATATACTACTGTTGAATCCTGTATCTGGCTGCGATATGGGCCCACATCTTGTTTTGCTTTAGTTTTTTGGTTTTCGCGTACGGTATAGGTTTTTTGTCTCCTTAGGGCCCCATGGAAGTATCTGGCCAGCAAGTGTGGTCGTGCATGATGTTTTTTTTTTTTTTTTTTTTTTCTGCCACCCTGCCCGAGAGGCAGGGCGGACTGCATGCTGGGACACAAACTGCCAAGCTCACCTCATAGGGGCTCGTTCGACACTCCTCGGGCGCGTGAATTCTCCGAGGAATTGTTCGTTCCACCTATCCTTGGGGATGCAGTCGGGAAAAAAAAAGTGAAAACACTCCGAACACTCCGAAGGAAAAATTCCTTGGGCTCCGAGGATTCCCCAGCCATTTCTTCCTTTTGCCCAAGGGACCTCACGAGGTCCCTTGGGCAAAAGGAATCCGCGTTTCACGGAGAGGAGCGGGCACATGGGTAGAGAGGCGTTACAACCGAGAATCTGGATCGTGGCGGCGCCCTATTGGCTGAAGGCCTCTTTTTCTTTTTCTTGTCTGACATCGCTCCAAGGAAATGTCCTCGGGCGACGTTCCCGAGGACAGGTGGAACGATGGCGGGAATTTCCTTGAAAACTTCCACGGAAACTTCCTTGGGCCCCGAGGACGCCCCAAGGAGTGTCGAACAAGCCCCATAGTCACAGTGGTACTCTTGCGGCCTGCATCCGACCATGATCACAGCATAAGGGGTACTGTTCAGTACGGGCACAGTCCCACTGGAACCTGGTAAGGATGTACCTAATGGCTATGACGGGGTAAGTGAAGTTTCTTTTTGTTTTTTTTTTACTTGTTTTTTTTTTACTTGTTTTTTTTTCTTTTTGTTCTTTCTCTGTTGTGGCTGCCGTGAATACCAGAGAAGAAAATACAATGGGACCCAGGCTCGACAAAACTCGGTGCGCAGTGAAATTCAGGTTTGCACATTTGGTG